GCTTCTCCCTCTGACCCTCCTCCCTCTCATGCTCTCTGTCTCTCATTCTCTCTCTCTCAAATAAATAAATAAAATATTTAAAAAAAAAAAAATAGTAAGCTAGAATGTCTCTGGGCTTATGGGATGGATTAAGTGCATACTGGTGGACCTAGACTTTCAGCATTCCCAGGTCCCAGGGGAGAGCAAGACTGGCAGCCTGCCCATCCTGTATTTTTAAGAACTTGAGAGGAGAGTTTTAAAATAGTACCCTATTTGGGGCGCCTGGGTGGCTCAGTCGTTGGGCGTCTGCCTTGGCTCAGGTCATGGTCCCAGGGTGCTGGGATCGAGCCCCGCATCGGGCTCCCTGCTCAGCGGGGGGCCTGCTTCTGCCTCTCCCACTCCCCCTGCTTGTGTTCCCTCTCTAGCTGTGTCTCTCTCTGTCATATAAATAAATAAAATCTTTAAAAAAATAAATAAATAAAATAGTACCCTATTCTTACGTTTACCCTAAAGTTTAAACAGTAATTCTCTTGTGGTCTTGACTTGCCCCCTTTAATGTTAAATAGCATCGAACCCTAATGGATGGTGAACAGTGACAGGTTGTTGAAATGGCACTTAAAGTAGACTATCTTATCACCTGAATACACTTTAAATTAGTAGTCCTGTTTACTGAACCACTGCTTTTTTTTTTCCCCCTCAGCGCTTGGATTCAGCTTCTTCATTTCCAGCATGGAAGAAACTTACAGTATGTATTTCTTATTGCTTTTAGAGAATAAGTTAAATTCTTTACATATAGTTTTATGTCTGACAAGACCTTTAGTGTTTTGGGAAAGATTCACATTTCTCCTTCAACTACTGAGGATGTCTGTGTGGTAGTAGAGAAGTTCCCAAATTTGAAATAAGACACTTGAAATTATCAAGCTTTGGAAAGGCTACAGTTGGGACATCTGTGTTAAACTATATTTTTATTAAATGAAACATAATTTTGCAGGGCTTCAGTTTCTCCTATTAAGGACAAGGGGATAGTAACCTCTGTTTTCTATTTTGAGAGACAATATGATATTCATAATAATGCTGATACACATTGAGTTCTTGGGGTTAAAGAAATCCTAGGAAGAATTCTTATTTCTCAAGTGATCCAGGAACCTTAGATGGCCCAAGAAGTCAGAAGGGAGCTAGCATCTAGAATCATACAAATGTAGAAACAAAAGAGACCCCAAAAATCATTTCATTTAACGTTTGGATTTTACATGGGAGAAAATAGAACCTAGATTAACGATTTGCCCAAGGTTACATAGTTAGAGACAGAGTCATATGTTGTTCATATGTAATGCCACACTTGATACCATAAGGCACTATGGTTTCTAAGCCCTGACCAAGTTTAAGGAACATCTGCATCAATGAGTGGATGAAACTTGTCAACAGGGCCTACTTTGTTTCTTACTTTGCTGTATTGTTCAGAGTCTCTTTGGAGTTAATAAGTTCCAACTAAAGGATATTTTTTAGTCCCATTCTACCTTCAAGGAAGGGTCCAATAGAATCTTAATCATCGATATATAGAAACTACATGGAAATAGTCTTCATTAAATATCTATATCAGAGGTTCTCAAACTTGAGCATGCAGCAAGATCACCCAGGGAGCTCGTTAAAACTCAGGTTGCTGGACTTACCCCAGAATTTCTTTTTGTTTGTTTGGTTTGGGGTTTTTTTTTTGTGTTTTGTCGTTGTTGTTTACCCCCAGACTTTCTGATTCAGAAGGTCTGGGACCCAAGAATTTGCAGTTCTAATATGTTCTCAGTTGAGGCTGCTGATCTGAGGACCACACTTTGAGAATCATTGATCTAGAAGACTGATTCTCCTTGGTCTTCCTTAGGGTTCTCTCCCCTACCTCCTTAATTTTTTTAAAGATATTTTAATGTAGGAGTGCCTGGGTGGCTCAGTTGGTTTGGTGTCTGCCTTCAGCTCAGGTCATGATCCCCGAGGATCCCCTGGGATTGAGCCCCACGTTGGGCTCTCTGCTTTTTGGGGAGCCTGCTTCTCCCTCTCTGTCTGCCCCTCTTGTGTGCTCTCTCTCTCTCTCTCAAATAAATAAATAAAATATTTTTTAAAAAGATATTTTAATGTAAACCTGGAATTCCATGTGAGATAGGTAGATTTATATTTATTCTTGGAAGCTTACTACTCTCTATTAAATTAGAAAGCAACAGCTGCCCTTTATGTCTCTCATTCTTTACTTTTTTCAGCCATAATTTTTTTCTTAGAAAAATATCACCTGGGAGTTGTTAGAAATGCACAATCTCTGGGCCCCATCCCAGACCTATTGAATCAGAATCTGCATTTTAGCACAGACCCCAAGTAACTTAACACTGCCTTAGGATATACTTGACCTTCTTCCCAAATTGACCTTAAACTATAACCTTAATCTGATCTAAAGATCTCCAGCTTCTGTTTGGGGCTGTACCTCTTAACTGATGATACTTTTTTTTTTTTCTTTTTTTTTAAGATTTTATTTATTTATTTGACAGAGAAAGACACAG